AACAACAACAACAACAACAATGTTGCCGAAACTGAGGTGAACCGGAAGGATTTGCTGCAGAAGGTCACTGAAGCTCAACATCATGAAAACAGATTATCAACACTGGGCCAAGTGGCAGTATCATGAAAGATGGAGAAGAGATTGATAGTGTTAAAAGCTTCAGCATGCTTGGCTCTCCGTGTTATTATTGCTGTTGTGTGTTGCTGAAGTGGAATCAACTCATACCTGGGTTTTCAGAGGCAGTAAATCACAAGGGAGGAGAGTGCCCATCCTTCTCCCATGGAGCAGCTGCTGGATTTGAACCCCATGCCTTTGGGTTTGCAGTGCAACTTCTTGCTACTAAGTGACCAGAGCTATAAGACTACCAAATCTCAGGCTTAATTTACTATTACAGATTGGACTATCAAATTATGTAGAAATAATCTGTTCAACCAAAACTATCTTCATTTAATGATGTCCAGCAGAAGTATGTGACCTGTTAATTTTAAAAATCTGTCTCAACAACTAAACCCCAAGATTGGTATTTTTCCCATAAAGCACTCTTAACTCTTTAACATAATATTCTCAGCAAGTAGTCACCAGACCTTGATCTTCAACTACTTGCATATTTCTAATGATCAATAGTCTTACTTAAGATAATTTGAAAGCAAATATATCTTTCAAGAAGTAATTAGGATGCATAAAACTCACCTTAATGCTTTTATTCCATTTTTTTTAAAGGGTCCTTTGTCTGGTAAGGCTACTACCAGTAGTAAAGAACTTAAGTGTTTTTTACCTTTTCTTCTTTTCTCTTGGGTTAACTTTTTGGTGACCGATGACATATTAAATTGCCTACTTATTTTTTCTACCTCTGTGGTTTAATGGAAACTTTTTACTCTATTTTAGTGTGTATTGTAGTTGAGGCTAGTCACTAAATAGGGACATCATGCTTAGAAAGATGGAGGGATCAGTGAAGAAAGGAAGGACCCTATGAGATTATTAACATAGTGACGTTAACAATGCACCTAAGTGTTTCAGAGATGATGGGGTCTGGCACGGGATAAAGCAGGGTTCAGGTTGGTTGTTCTTAGGGTCACTATGAGTCGTACTTGACTTGACAGCACCTAACAACAACAACAACAACATATGTTCTTGTGTACCATAAGTCAGAACTGACTCATAGCTCACCCTTGACCAGATTTTCAAAGGCAGTAAATCACACAGGCAGATTGCCCATCTTTTTCCCATGGAGCAACTGGTGTATCCAACCCATATACCTTTGTATTGGGAGCACAATCCCTTACCATAACCACCAGAGCTCCCGATACACATAAACACCTATGCAAATCTAAAAATTATAGGTCTCATTTCACCAATCTTAGTGCTAGAGTTTCCCTTGGGACATATGTGCCCCACCAATTGTATGAATTGTGTACTAATTGTATGATGTCAGTTTGCAGGCTAAGGTGCATCTGATTTAGGCCATCGCCTTTCCAACCACTTGCTAGGCATCTGAGAGCTGGACAATAAATAAGAATGAGAGAAGAAGAATTGATTGTGTTTGAACTGTGGTGGTAGAAAAGAACCCTAACTACCTCATGGTCTGCCAAAAGAACAAACAGATATGTCTTGGAGAGGGTGCAGCCAGAGGGCTCTTTGGAGGCAAGAAGGGTGAGGTTTCACCTCACATACTTTGGGAATGTTGCTAGGAGGGGCTTTTCCTTAGAGAAGGACATTAGGCTGGGAAGAGTGGAGGGTCAGTGATGGAGAGGAAGACCCTCAACCAGGTAGATTGATGTGGTAACTGCTGCACTGGGTTCCTGTGTGTCAAGAGTGTGAGGATGGCACAATATAGAAAAGGGTTCAGATCTTTTGTTCACAAGGTTGCTATGAGTTGTACTTCACTCTATGGCACCTAATAACAACAACAATAAAAACTGTATGAAAATTTGTTAGTCAAATTTGTATCCACTTCATTCAAAATGCTCTACATTATTGAAAATACCTGTTATAACAACAGCAAGAAAGAAAAAAAAGAAAAAGGAGGAAATAATTCAGTTTTGCAAAGGATAAATTACCTTTATAGTTTAAAATTGTGAATCTAAAAAAGTAATTCTTAAGTAACAAAAAAATATATTGTTGACTTTGAATTACACAATCAGAAAGTCTATCTAGTAATAGACTTTAGTAATAATGTCAACTCTGGGCATCTTCTGAGCCAGGTTATTAGGTGTAATTCCTCAACAGAGCATGCAGTTCTCAGCACTTACAGAGGCTAGCTAGATCCTTCATGAAACTTCTCCATTTCATATCAGATAGTCACATAATTTCTGTGACATATTCCAGCGAACCATCTCCCCAGGTCCAAAAGTTCCACTCTTGCTTACAAAAAGCAACAGTAGCCTTTGCTCATGGATAGGAAGACCCAATGTTGTGAAAAT